ATACTGATAACAATCGCTTTATTCCTGATAATAATTTTAAATACTGTACGGAATTCTGTATTTCAAGTAATAAAAGAACATGTCTAGTTGTTTTTAGGTTATTGTCTAGTTTGTAAGTCTTTTGTTGCACGGAGGGAAGGAGAGAAAAGCACCTGTAAGTCTGGCAGTAAGGGTCCATGCATTCAGCAAGGAAAGTTTTTTTTTTCCAGCAAATCATTCATGTAACAGCTATATGATGTACTGTTATGCGCTCTGAAACCCATTGCCATCTACCGTTGTTCTGTTATCAGCTTGTCTAACGATAGGCTAAAGACATTTAAAGAATGTACGAGAGTATATTTTACGCTTTGTTGACACTTAAATAGTTAAAACATGTACAAAAGGAGCAATTTGATGAAATATACTCGGTGAAAGTATTTCGGTGGCCTAAAATGTAAACAGGTTTGTCAGTCAGCTATCCTAACGCATGAATAATACTTATCTGTATACACTCTGAAAATGAAGGAATACTGTTATTAATAATCCAACATTTCGTAGACCTACAAGTGACCTTATAAATCATCTAACTTCTCAAATACCAACAAACATTGAATAAATTATTTCCAGCATAAACATTGGATGATACCAGCGTAATATAAAGATTATGTTGTATGAAACAAAACCTTCGACAACCTAAATTAACACACCAGCCATAAAATAAATTTTTATTACCAAGTGGAAAAAAAGTTAGTGATGATAATCAAAGACATCAATTTCCCTAGTTTAAGAACACTATCTAAAACCTCCTATAATAAATTATTTATGTTCGGTTAGATTTACTGTACAAAAGTCAAACTGGCTTAGAAACCCTTCCATAAACCTCTAAATGTTAATTTGAAAAGACTAAACCTAACTGCTTTCAGTTATTGAGAACAATATAAAAGTTTTTTTTTAAAAAACATCGGTTTTCAGCGTTTTAAACTTCTTTCAGTATTTATCATTCACTTTGAAAATACTAAAGGAGAAACCATATCAGAGTGACTTTTACAGTAAATCGCCTATCACATATTACAGAAACCTCCCATTACAAATCATTTCCTCAAATAATTTGAACTCACACTGCAACAGATAACTTCAGTTAACAACTGCTAGTGACCAAGCAAACTACAGATAATGAATCCTTTAGTAGTATCAAGGCATCCGCGTAGGAGCATATCTGCCAAAAAAGGTCGAGCAATTCAGCCCAATAGAGCAACAGGAAGTTACAAGTATGAAACAACTGACACCCGTTGCACAGTAGGTGGCCCTTGTACTCCAGTGGTCAAGTGCACAAATAGAATGAAATGCACATCTTGGATTTCACTGCTAATTCCCAAGCAGACGACAACATAGGCTATTCATATTAAACATGCTTACTTTGATGATACTCTATTACTGTGTGCTATAACAAATATGCAATCTTATGTGGTATTTGTAGCTTATTGGTACTTATTATTTCTCGTTAATAAACTGGGTTGAATTGCTTGACCTCTGTTGACGGATTGGCCCGTATGCAGATGGCCTAAAAATGACTGCTGGCCACCAAGTAAGCTACGCGACACATGGAAGTAGATTCGCTTACAGTGTCCACGTTTCACTGTCACATAAACATACATGCATTATCATTATTATTATTTATCCCTTGGGTTCCTAGTGAAACATACGCCTTCAGTAGCACGTCTCCATTCCCTTCTGTTCTCTGCAGTATTTTGAACCTGCCTTCATGGCTGTCCACAAGTTTCATTTCTTCCTCACACGATCTCTTCAATGTCACTCTCACCTCGGACGCCCAACTCACCGTTTCCCACCTGTGTTCTGTTTGAGTGCCTGCGCATGATTTCCCCGAATGTTCTCAGTGCATGCCCAATCCATCTCCACTTCCGTCTACAAATTTCCTGAGCGATAGGTTCTTGGTATGTTCGTCGCCAGCCAGCCAGCAAGAGTTCCTTCTTGCTTATCCTTATTATTTTGGCCTTCTGATCTTATCTTCAGTGACAAGCCAGCGTAGGCAGTTGTTGATGAACATCTGTAGTTTGTTGAAAATCCCTTTCGTAACGTGCCAAGTTTCTGAACCATTTAGAAGCACTGACTTGGCGTTGGCGTTGAAAACCAGGATGTTGTTCACGCTTTATTCTGAGTGCAGAAGATCTCCACACTGGTGTCAGGTTAATCAATCCCTGTCTTTCCTATCATGGCTGCTTTGATGTCCCAGTCTGTGCCTGTGTCGCCTGTAGTTGAAATGATGCTGCCTAGATAGGTGAAAGAGGCTACTTCCTTTAAGTTTCTCCCGTTCATGGTGATTAAAGCTTGTCGTTGTTGTTGTTGGTGGTGGTGGTGTTGTTGGTTGGGTGTCTTCATCACCTCTGTCTTCTCTACATTCATTTGCAGTCCCGTCTTGGCTACCCTGCCATGCCTCTTCTATCAACTTGTTAGTTTTCGCCTGTAGGTCTTCGATCTTGTGTAACATTAGACACAAGTCATCGGCAAAATCTAAATCTTCTGAGATCTTTTTCCCGGTCCAGCGTATCCCACTCTTCTCGCTCCTCACAATTTGCTACATGATCCAGTCGACCACAATCAGGAAGATGATAGATGATGGTAGACAGCATTGTCTTACTCCTGTGTCCACTTCAAAGGTTTCACTGAGCTTCCTATTGTGAATTACTTGGCATGTGGCATCTTCACATAGTTGTTGAATGAGGCTGATAAAGGTTTGTGGTATTTCGTAGTGTTGAGGCAGTTTCCAAATTACTTGTCGCTCAACGTTGTCGAATGCCTATTCAAAATAGATGAAGTTGAGGCAGAGTTGAGTTGACCGCCACTCTATACTCTGTTCTGTGATGATGTGCAGCGAAGAGTTGCAATTTGATCGGCACATGATTTGTACTTCCTGAATCAAGCCAGGCAGCCAGCCTGTTCCGGTCGTAGTTTTGAATCCAGTGCATCCTTTAGTCTCTCCAAGATGATGCGCCCTAATATTTTGATTGGGGTGGACAGGAGCGTGATTCCTCGCCAGTTCTTCAGCAGTTTGGCAAGGTAACCCTTCTAATCCGCCAGCAGGTACCTTCCCTTCCTTCCACACCTTCTGCAATAGTGATGTGAACATGTCTGCTGTTGTCTCTGCGTCTGCTCTCAGTGCTTCTGGTAGGATTCTATTTGGTCCTGCTGCTTTCCCGTATTTTAGTGGCTTTATGGCGCTCAGAACTTCGACTTTCGTGGAAGGGCCTGTGTTCACTTGTAGTTCAGCGTCTGCAGATGGTATTTCTGGATGAAGTGCAGGTGGTGGTCGATTCAAGAGCTTCTCGAAGTGGTCAGCTCACCATTTCCTTTGTTTCTCCTCCTTGGTAATTAGATTTCTTTTATCATTTTTTTGATTTCATCTGTGTTGATCTCTCCCTTCCTAGACAGTAACCTGGTTATTTGATACAATGTTGTCAGGTCTCTCCTACCTGCAGCCTGTTCTGCTCACTTGCCAGTGTTTCGTAGAAGTATCTTCTGTCTTTCCGTGCACTCTTGTTCACTTCCTTGTCTGATGTAGTGTTTTATATGTTGTTTTCAGTTCCTCTTTGCACTGGTTCATCTTCTGCTTCACCATCCTCCTCTCCCCGCTCTATTAGCTTCCATGTATCCGTCGAGATCCACTCCATTCCTTATATTCTTTCTTCTTCCTTCCAATTACGGTTGATTATGCAGGTTTCTTTCCACATAGCTTTCAAAGAGTTCCAGTGTTCATCCACACAGGTTTCTTCAGGGATGTCCCTTGATATCTCCCATTTTGTCTTGATGGCTGACTGACGTGAAGGTTTCCTTTTTAGTTTCGTCCTTCAGTTTCTATGTGTTGAACTTGAACTGTGGTCTATCACCAGCTTCCTTGAAGGCTTATAACTTGATTTGGAAGGTTCCTTGCACTAGATAGTCCGATGGTCTGAACCCACATTTGCTCCTCTTCTTCACCTTGTGTCAAGTAAGCTGACTGCGTCTCCACTTTCTTGAGATTGGGTAAAATCGATCTGATTTTTAGTGTGTCCTGGTGTCTGGTGAAATCCATGTCGCTTTGTGTATATCCTTATGCTTGAACACAGTGCCTAGCCTTCAATCACCAAACCGTTGACTGCACAGAGTTCTGCTAATAATTCTCCATTCTCGTTCATTTCACCTAGCGCTTCTCGACCCTTAATTAGTTCTCTTCCTGTGTTGTCCGCTCCCAGTTTGGTATTCATGTCGCCCAATAAAATTTTGATGTCGCCAACTGGAGTCTTGTTTACCAGTCATTGCAGTTTTCTATAGAACTACTCCCTCCTCTGTTGATCTGCATTATTTGTAGGTGCGAAGCATTGTATGATTGTGACCTTCCTTCCTTTTGAGTTGAACATTGCTGTCATGATCCGGATCGTGGAGGAGATTGGTTCCCACTGCATGAGAGTCTTTGGTGCTCTCGAGGACATCATGATAGCCACTCCGTCCGTGTGCTCGTGGTTGTCGTCAGGGTGACAATATCGGCGCAGATTATTGACTCCTCCCCAGTTGACAGTTTCGATAGTCTACTTCCATTCCATATATATATATATATATATATATATATATATATATAGATATATATATATATATATATATATATATATCATGGACTGACATTTGGAGGGACATTGGAAACCTGGGAGCGCTTGACATCTGTTTCATCCTAGCATGGGATTCTTCAGTAGTGTGCGCCAAACAGATCATGGCTTCTCACTAGACCTTCATGATATTCATCTGAAACCAAGTAGCTAATGAGCACTACACAGTAATACATTTTTGAGATGAATAGGAGTTTGTAATTTAGAGATAGTATTCATCAAGGGCTGACATATACATATATATAATATATTATAACACAATGTTACAAATAACCTCTTAGTTTATCTTCACGTTTATTCACATTACTTTAGCTTATTTCATTTAAACAACAGAAAATAAATCATTCACTCATAAATCATATTTACCTAGATAACTGTTATTAACAGTAATATTATCATTAAAGTCACTATGAATGGAATATAAACTTAATAACTCTGGATTTGTTATCCAACTTGCATTCAGCCGGTTTTTGTCTAAATCTTCGCTTCGATTTTCACTTGAGTTCAATTTAACAGATTGAATATTAGTAATCTTGACAGCTTCAATTGTATTCATGTCTCTTATATATGTATATATTATGAAGTAGAATAGGATGATAATGTAGATACTTTTACTGCTAGTATAATTTTTATCCGCCAACAAAAATAGTTTTGATGACATGTTCAACGCATTCCACAATGATAATGAAAACTAATTTTCAATCTTGGAAAAACCATTATCAAATAGATATATTTTATTAATTTCTTGTTCAATTAATTTTCATCAAACATATTCAGTTGTACTTTTGAATAAAAGTGTTCAGTATTGTAAAAATAATTTCCGATTACTATCTATCCATCAGTAAGTGTAAACATACATTAAATAAAAAGTTCTATATCTTTTAGAAATATATTGAAACCATTGAATGCCTTACTTGATTGGCCATTGGTAAATGATTGGTCATAAACCAACCATATTTCGATTTTCCTTAATCCTGTATATACTATAGTGTTAAAAATAAGAAAGGTGATAATATATGCCTGAAATGAACACACACTACACAGACCAACGAGAAAAACATATTTATCTGAAAATATTGCCTTACAAGTTGATTCATTACAGAAAACAAAATGTCAAATAATAAACAACTAAAATTTGTACATTTTCAAAAAGATGATTTTTACTTTAAGATGACATTGTTTTGTAATTTAAAATAAGATTTGAATAAATTCAGTTGCTGATTAACATAAATGGACAAGCGAAAATTGCTTAGATTGTGAAACTTCAAAACTGTATATATGAAATATTTATATGCTCAGCTGGTGGTATCCACTATTCTACTGTAGTATTCGATAGTCATATTTTTGGGAAATTGTTCTTAGAACAAGATATGAAAGTAAACAATATTGTTTTCAATTAAATCCTCTCCAGACTTTACTTTCATACAAATAAAACCAATCATGAGCTACCCCAACGGTTTTATAAAAAGACACATGGACCAAGCGAGAGGTAAGAAACCTGGAATTATTTCCATACAAAAGAAACCGTTGTCCATGGAATTGCAATTTAATAGAGATGTAGCAGGAAATGTCTTATATTAGAGACTCTTTAGGGCCATCAAGAGGACTTTCTACGTCGCACAGCGTTTTCCATCATTTTACAGTCGACCAATTGTTACTGCTCAGACAAAACATAAGTTATCTAGTTTGGCCATTTCTATATGCATTCACAAGTTTAGCTACTCCTGTGGACAAAGCTTTATAGTGCATACTACTAGACAACTTAATAAACGTGTTGCTGAGCATCTACCTTCATGGTTGAGAAAGGGACAGATAAAATCCATCAGAAGCTCAGTTTTATCTCACCTTGTTGATAGTGGTCACTTGGTGGATAAGAACATTACCTTCACGACTGTTCACCGTATGCCATCTCTTCTTTCAAAAGCTGTTTGAGTTAATAATCTTAGTCTTTGTATGTAGAAGAAATTTGTGCATCCCTTATCTCTCCCTTGACTAGGGAATACTCAGTTAATAACTTTATCATTCAGTTTTTTCCTACTCCTTTTCATATACTGTATTGTATTTGTTTAGACTTTGTATATCCACTTACCTCATCCTCCCATATTACGCAGCATTTATTTTCCCAAGCTTCTGACTCCCTTTTATTATCGAAGTGTCTACATTTTCATGATGCTTTCTTGGTTCGAATCATCATTATCATCTATATTGCAAGTGCTTTAGTTAATATTATCACTTTTATCACTATTATTATTTGTATCATTGTCAGCATCGTTAATTTTAAGACATTTATCACATTAATGGACAAATCTATATGGCTGACTTAATTCTCATGGATATTAAGCTATTTGTATTAGAGTAAAGTCTGAAAAGGATCTAACTGAAAACAGTACTGTTCGCTTATATGTGTTGTTCCAGTTCACATAATGGCCTTTTAATTTGTATACAGTGAACGACAGAAACTAAGAATTAAAAACAAATTTTAATTGAGAAGTAGTATTCATCGTAGACTGACATCAGTTGAGGAACCATTGAAAATCTGGGAGCACTGGATAGCTGTTTCGTCCTAGTATGGGACTCATCGGCAGTACGCATGCTAAGCTCTACTGAGAAGTTGTGACCTATAGGGTCAGCCAGTCGTTAGTGTTACGGGTGCTAACTGAAGACCTTGGGTGATAGTTACGCTCTGTTGTCAATTGACAGAAGTTGAAAATTGTGAACCACTGAAAACCAACCTAGTGGTTGAGTGGTTATCACTTTTGTCGTAAACCTGAAGGTCCTGAGTTCGATTTCTGGGGTGTCGTGAGTGAGTACTGCTGAAGAGTTCCATACTAGAATGAAACATCTGTCCAGTACTCCCAGATTTTCAGTGGTTCCCCAACTGATGTCAGTCGAGGATGAATACTACTTGTAAATTAAAAATCCCCATTCATCTCAAAAATTTAAATTTGTTTTACTATTTCTTCAAACAGATAAGAAATTAACTGCTTCATTCAGTTGATCAAAAGAATTGTACAGAAGATTAAAGCATTCAGTCATTGGAAGAGAACACTCAATAAGTCCAGCTACTGAATTTCCAGATGAAATGAAAGATTTAAAGACAGTCAGTGACGAAAGAGTAGTGTCCTTTGATGCGATTTCTATGTACCCTTCAATTGACTCAAATCTAGGCAAGGAGAAGATGGAATTTCCTGACTTTTCGAAGTTCATGGTTCCAAACCTAATAAAGTTGATCAATCTATGTCTGATGACCTATTTAGAATTCAACTGGAAAATTTATAAATAAATAAAAGGAATACTTATGGAATCACAAATATTAGGACTAATTGCTGAAACAGTAATCCAGTGGCGGGAATCAATAGTCATCCTTGTCATTAAAGTAAAAAAATGTATTCAATACCTTGACGACATATTAGTAATTCACAAGAAGGATAAATAATCAACCGACCACTTGAAGGAATTCATTTCAAAAAGGAGTAGAAGGCTAACAGCAGAACACACGATCGAACTTCGCAAACTCAAGTTTACAGGACAACTACATATACATCAAATTTTGAACTACAACAGCAATCATGCTACAGTCAATAATAAATATGTACAAACACTATTCTTAAGAGTCAAACAAGTTACAGCACTGGATCACTGTGAAAAGCGAAAGAAAAATATTTGTACAAAATGTAGGAATTCAAAGAAAATACAACCAACTTTATTTCAAATTGTTTACTAAAAAAATAGGAGACAGGAAAATTACCGCAACAGTCAACCGATTGCTTCGACCGTTTGGCATTGGAGTAACATACGAACCAACGAAAACATAACACACATTGTTGTCTAAACCAAAAGACTCGTTGGCAAAAGAAGACAAGACAAATCTAATCTGTAAAATCAATCTCAAAGATTGTTCATAACATTATGTTGACCAGTCTGGCCGTCGCATTGCCGAAAGAATTCGTGAACATCAACTCGCAGTGAAGTGACATGATACAGCCTTCTCGGTTTCAAATGAAAGAATGTAGACATCGTCCAAAAAGAGGTTCCTTAGCTGTGAGAGAATTTCTGGAAGCACAGCATTAGAACCAAAAGTGAATCAGACATGTGGATATAGGCTTAGTGTACAATCTACTGAAAAATAGTACAACCAGCCATCAACCTACGGTGAACCGATCAAACAACCCAATAATAGTGCACAATATGACAATAAGAAATCTCACTACCTCATTCGAAAAAAAATTATCTACCAACATGACCGAAGGAAATTTTAGGTTGAAGAGGTTAAGATATGATAGAAATCTACCCCCTAACTTACAAGTGGACAACACCCAAAGTCAATAAAAACTTTATCTAGGCATTCACAAAACATCTGAATATGCTTCACTTCGTAATGAAGTTAATGCTAAGGATATTACAAAACCTCGTGATGAAACATCTAATAAAGTTGAACATGTCGCAAACTCATACATTCAAGTAAAACAATTAGAAAATGGAATAGTTCTATATCATAGCTAAATATTAATTGATAATCTTCCAGCGGTTACCGAACATAAATCGCAAACTAATCACCTCTCATTCACTAATGTGAAACAACACTGTTTGTGATTTCAATATACTACTATATACGTCGTTATGAACATTTTTAATCACCTTAATAATAACGGTTTACTCTGAAAGGTAGTTCGGGAATAATCTACAGAATTTTCAATGCCATATAGCATCATTTGGACAAAAAAGTATACATGTATACATGGCAAAAAGAAATAAATATAAATTAAATATAAATTATATAATATATATATGTATATATATGTATATATATATATATATATATATATATATATATAATCGATCTACAACTTTCTTCCAAATGCACAGTGAACAATCACTTAGCAATTAGATTCACAATACCTAAATAATATTAAGTTGTGAACTTATAAAAAGGTCTGATTCCGAAAACAAAATTTGGTCAGTTAGTTCATTTCTAACACTTCCGTCGTCACACGAGAGACGAATTAAATACGGTATTGTTGAGTCCTTAACCTCGCCTGGTTAACTAGTTTACTAGTTACTAGCCGGTCCTAAGCCCGGGTAAGAGGGAAGGTTGGGCATAGGGCTAGCAACCCTACCCCGTAAAACAAATCTAACCGCTAAACAAACTTCAAAGCACAAACAAAATATAAAAAATGAAAACAAACTTATACCCCGCTGGAATCGGAGAGGCGAAATGACGCCAGTTGGTGAAAGCCTTCGGGAAGCCAATTGGCCGATGTGTCTTCTCTCGATGAAAGCGAAAGTAAACGTGGGGACATGGAATGTCCGTACGATGTTTGAACCCAGTAAGACAGCCCAGATTGCAAAGGAGATGAAAAGGTATCACATCGAAGTGCTTGGAATTTGCGAATGCAGATGGAATGGGAGTGGACGCTCCAAACTGTCAACTGGAGAATCAATAATCTACTCCGATATTGTCACCCAGACGCCAACCACGAGCACACTGAGGGAGTGGCTATCATGATGTCCTCAAGAGCATCGAAGGCTCTCATGCAGTGGGAACCAATCTCCTCAACGATCAGGATCATGACAGCAAGATTCAACTCAAAAGGAAGAAAGGTCACAATCATACAATGCTTCGCACCTACAAATAATGCAGATCAACAGAGGAGGGAGTAG